GCTTCTTCTAGTCCTGTGGACTCGCCTCTTGTGGACTCGCCTTAAAAGGATATTGACACCTTCAAATGGGATACTGCGACATATGGTACAAACGAGCATCATTTCAGTCCGTGCGCGCAAGTCACCAGTTGACCATTGATGAGCATAACGCATTTTATTTGGATCGGGTGCCGATAATACTAAGTTCTTTGGCCTTGTATGGGATATAGCGATTGACTAGTTGCTATTTTCATTTTCTGTCATAGATTTCACTGTTAAGCAACGCAGGCCCTCAATGCTGCCTATTGTTGCTCGGTTTTATGATCCTCTTTGAATTTTAAAATCAGAAAGATCTTTTTCCAACAGCTTTGTAAGGACCAATTGACTTGGGATAAAAGTTTGCCGATTGCATATGATACGGTTTAGAGCGAATATTCAGCATATTTATTTTCCTAGAGTGGCGCTCTTCGAAGAATCTTAAGTTGAAATTCATCTCTTATACCATTTCCAAGTGGGTCGCCGTCTTAGCGCAACTCCTCTCTGGACTATGCAAACTTCTAGCCAAAATTCGACTTTAGTAATGGCCGATTTGGGGATTGAGAACAGTCTCTAATGCAGTCAGTCACACCAACAACGTCAATGTGACCCTGTTGAGCGAAGCAAGACTTACGAACAACTACGCCAAGGATATTTGGCTACCAACCATATCAAGCTAACACAACCATTACCCGATTAAGAAAACGTCAACACCTTACCCTTCTGCAGAATTAAAAATACTATAATACGACGCACGACATGTCATGTTATTTCCAAAATTGTTGGCTGATTCTTGAAAATACAATAAAATTAAAAAATAAAAAAAACACTGCCCCCACATGTATGTAAAATCTAATCATCATCGGACCATAATATCATATAGCTGTTACTATAATCCGCTTTTTCTCTCTAAAACTCAATTGTTGGTGTGTTTGTTGAGTAGGATCGGTTGCAAGTGGTGCGAGTTCTTTTGAGGGAATATATTTTGTTTAAGTAATTTATTTTTATTACTGATACCTATATCGAAGATCGGTGGAATAGTAGGATCTTATATGGCAAAATATTGCAAATATTCATCACGGTGAGCGATGTTGTTAGATGACAACAGGAAGATTCGTTATCCCAGAAATGTGAAAAAATCCAGCTCCATCGCATCTCTTGCACCATTTCAGGATGAAGGTGAACTCTTCCGTGTGAGTGACCGGCTTAGTAATTCGTCTCTGCATTATGATGCGTAACATCCCATAATTTTGCCTCCGCGTCATGCTATCTCCTTAGCTCTCATCGCTCAGTTTCATGAAAGGAATCTACATACTGGTCCCCGATTTCGCACGTATACTGTTGCTGACAGCGGACAGCTGACATTTGCAAAATGTACCGGTGTACGAGTGACTTCGCCTAATAGCTTCTTCTAGTCCTCTGGACTCGCCTCTTGTGGACTCGCCTTAAAAGGATATTGACACCTTCAAATGGGATACTGCGACATATGGTACAAACGAGCATCATTTCAGACCGTGCGCGCAAGTCACCAGTTGACCATTGATGAGCATAACGCATTTTATTTGGATCGGGTGCCGATAATACTAAGTTCTTTGGCCTTGTATGGGATATAGCGATTGACTAGTTGCTATTTTCATTTTCTGTCATAGATTCCACTGTTAAGCAACGCAGGCCCTCAATGCTGCCTATTGTTGCTCGGTTTTATGATCCTCTTTGAATTTTAAAATCAGAAAGATCTTTTTCCAACAGCTTTGTAAGGACCAATTGACTTGGGATAAAAGTTTGCCGATTGCATATGATACGGTTTAGAGCGAATATTCAGCATATTTATTTTCCTAGAGTGGCGCTCTTCGAAGAATCTTAAGTTGAAATTCATCTCTTATACCATTTCCAAGTGGGTCGCCGTCTTAGCGCAACTCCTCTCTGGACTATGCAAACTTCTAGCCAAAATTCGACTTTAGTAATGGCCGATTTGGGGATTGAGAACAGTCTCTAATGCAGTCAGTCACACCAACAACGTCAATGTGACCCTGTTGAGCGAAGCAAGACTTACGAACAACTCTACGCCAAGGATATTTGGCTACCAACCATATCAAGCTAACACAACCATTACCCGATTAAGAAAACGTCAACACCTTACCCTTCTGCAGAATTAAAAATACTATAATACGACGCACGACATGTCATGTTATTTCCAAAATTGTTGGCTGATTCTTGAAAATACAATAAAATTAAAAAATAAAAAAAACACTGCCCCCACATGTATGTAAAATCTAATCATCATCGGACCATAATATCATATAGCTGTTACTATAATCCGCTTTTTCTCTCTAAAACTCAATTGTTGGTGTGTTTGTTGAGTAGGATCGGTTGCAAGTGGTGCGAGTTCTTTTGAGGGAATATATTTTGTTTAAGTAATTTATTTTTATTACTGCTAAAGCAAACAAGCTCGTAGCGCGAGCTGCATTTGTGTTGGAGGGTTCAGGGGATCCCCTAGTAGGGAGCTCCCGACTAGAGCCTCTTATATGTTTAGTTCCGTTTTGATCGGATACCTATATCGAAGATCGGTGGAATAGTAGGATCTTATATGGCAAAATAGTTAAGCTTTATTTTTATTTTACCTGAATATTTTGAAAAGTTGGCATCCACATTTTTTGTTGCAATTCTGTTCGATAGGCACGAGTAAAACAACCGACATAGGATATGAAGCATGATATAAGAAGTATGTCTCCAGGTAGTTGTCTTATACCTAAGGTTATACTATTCGAAAAAAGGGGAATATTTAATAATTCATATATAAATTAACTTCAATATTTCTCACCTTTTCACAGACTCTGTCCAGCGAACTTTCTCTGTGGCTAGCCCACCAATTAACCGGTTTGCTATATCGATAGTAAACGCAGTTTTATCCGCTTCATCTTGACACTTTTGTTTCTTTGCCATCGCCTCATCGAATTTCATTTGTAGAATATTCAACTCTTGCTCAAGCTCATTGAGTCGTTGATTTAAAGCTGTAAGCTTATCTCTGGCATCATTTAATTCCTTTTCAGCTTCAACTAGAGCACGTTCTTTGGGTTCGACCACAAGATAAACATCATAGAATCGGTTTATATTGATAACCCATGAGCACAAACCAGCAGCTGCAGACGACTTGGATATTATTTTTTCTGGATTGAACTCAGGATCTAGAATATAAGGCTGTAATGCCTTTATAACATCTGGGTGAATATGCTTTTTATCGTAATTGATTAAGTTGTCGAGGAATTTATCAACATTTCCCATCATACCACGGGATGCTTTCCAGCTTCGGTCCTTGGGTATTTTTCCGCTGAAAGAAAACAGTACTAATACAGCTCCACATACACTAACGACAGCATCTGGTGGGGATCCAAAGGATTTAAGTTCCGTTAAGTTATTCTTATTCAGAGTATTTAGCGCTTCCTGGGCAGCAAGAAGAGCGGGTTGAGCCTTACGAAAATCTTCCTCACAGAGTTTGGCTTTTGCCCCTACGTCTTCTTCAATCTGACGAACATTCTTTTCTTCCTTAGTAGCATAAGCACGTTCCTTTGACACCTTTTCGTTCTCTGTGCTTACGACGACAATAAGATTGTCTGCCTCCTGATTTTTAACTTTTAGCTCAACTTCTTGCAATTTGAGAACATCCTGAAGTGCATCTACTTCTTTCGTGCAACTCGCCAGTTTAATTAAGCCATTTTCTAAGCGATAACGACGCTCTAAATTAGCATTGACTTTTTCATATAACAGCTTAGAATATAGAGAAATGAGCTCAAGAAAAGATTTTGGCGTGGTATAGTTGTACCGTTTTGCGTTTGCTAGATAGAGCTCTGAGATATCGTTTACAGTCTTATGTACATAAGCCATGAACTTAGCTACAGGTGGCGCCAATTCTATTGGCAGAACTGTAATCTCTGAGAGAAAACGCATTGATACAGACTCAAGTGCCTGCTGAGGCCACTCATGAAACCAATCTATTGTAGTACAGTTAACAAGGGCAGGAAATTTTCTAGAACGTACACGAAGAGTGGCACCTACAGGTGAAAAACAAAGTACAACCTTGAGAAGACTACGCACTTTCTCAATAAAATATTTCCAGCAGTTTTCACGACTGTCAATAATGCCAAGTTGCTTGACTTCATTACGCACAGCTCCAATCACGTTTTCCATTTCGTCGTCGGGAAAAAGTTCATGTATATCACCAGATGCGAGAAGATCGTTAACAAGAACTAAAAACTGTTCACGTGCCACCTCAGAATCAGTCATTAGAAAGCAGCATGCTGTGCTCTTGACTCCTGCTTTTGAATACAATACCGCAATATTAGTTTTTAAATCATTCACACTATAATCTTTTGTAAGCTGAATCTGAAATACGTCCAAAGAAGAGATAAAAGCCGCTAGGCGAGTAAGAGATTGTTTTCCTGAACCGCCAACTCCAATGAGTAGCGCATATCCTCTGGAAGATTCTAATATTCGGCTTATTCTGCACACATGTGACATGGCGTCATCGAAAAGAACCAAGTTCATGGCACCTACATAGTCATTATAACGCAGCTGAGCTTCCTCCAACAATACTTTCAGTCGGTCCCAATTTGGTATAGGCATATATTTAATATCTGAAAGTCCTTTCGCAAAGTGACAATATATATGAGGTTGCGCATAAATAATGTCTTCGCTTACACCTTCAATTCCTTTTCGTACTACCTCAACAACAATTTTCTTAAAGTTTCCTATGTCGGTTTGGTCTACCAGCTTATCACCATACACACGAAAACATTCGTGAACCCACAATCGTATCAGTTGATTAAAAGTGGGGCATGTTTCGTTATTAGCATATAGGACACCCTAGGAGAGATTTATTAGATTAGTACAATACAAATTATATAACTTACCGTAAATATGTTGGCAAGGTCTCGTAAATTAAAGTTGTAGTGAAACTTCATTGCTGTTGGAAGAAAAGATCCGACTACCTTTAAATGTAATGCAATTGCTGTATTGACAAGTGCTGTACACTCCTTAATGATGTTCTTTTCAAACTTATGTTGTGGATTTTCCAAATGCTGAGACAGTATTGAGTTTAGAATGTGAAATAATGCGTCCTGGCTCGGTTGACTGTGAAAGAAAAACGTACATTATTACTTTATATATTGTTAATTATAATAGATACAATACTTACTTAACTGCAAAAGAACAAAAGTGTCTTTGTAATCTAGGATTAATAGTAAAGGAACCTGCTGAAGGATTCATGCATGCCACAATATTGCATTTATGTATATCTTTCAATGTCATTTTAATCCGATCATACCAATGGTGATAATCCATGAACTGCCTGATTAAAGTATGTGGTTGAACTGTAAAATACTTATCGACCTCGGGCATATTCATATCATCAACAAAGTATATCATTTTTTTGTTTCCTATCGGGCCATAATTGCGACCTGCTTTTTTTTCAAGTGGTTTTTCTAATATTCGCTGCAACATTTCTGATGTAGTATAAAAGTTGAAGGGGACATTGGTTACAGCAAATTTGTCTGTGGGTAGAGTGCTTAATTTAGCATTCATCAATATTGTCTTGCCTGATCCCGAGGGCCCAATAAGCATTAGAGGATGATCTGCTTCTATTAGAGTATCCATGAAAAAGCGAAGCCGGGTTGTCTCCGCCGAATTAACCAAATTTGATTGCAGCGGAAGATCAGGATCAAGCTCAAAGTCCGGTACCAGATTAGTCCATGGTAAAAACTTTTTGCTTTCATTATGAATATAGTAGGAAAATATATTGCCTGATGGTGGAAACTTAACGGCTTTATATTCGTTCTGAAACCATTTACTGAACTCATTGCGCCAATCGATAATTTGATCTTGAAAAAGCGGTGATCCAAAACCCCAAACAACACTAAAAACAAAGTAGATCTCATACCAATCTTTGGGGCAGTCATGCGGTACATTTTGTGGGGTCAGCATACTGTCTAATAAGAAGCAAGTCATTTGTAATCGTGCAATATCAGAAATGGGGGTGATGCTTTTAAGTCGGCTTCTGAACAAATCAAGAAGTGGTGGTATGTATTTGTCAAATAAAACGTTAAGAGTAGCTACTTCACTTGCGTTGGTTCGTGTACCCAACCAAGATTGAATAAAGGGTGTCCATCCCAAGTCCTGTGGATTTATGTAAAGAATTCCAGCCCGTGATACTGTAGCTGGGGTTGCCGTTCGCAGCGATGCAATCTCAAAAAGTAAACGCATCTCTTTGGTTAGCGCAATTCGCTCATTGCTAGCCAAAGTTAGGACCTTGTTATCATCCATCACAGTGTTTAGGCTTTCAATCCACATAGGATCAATGTCACCATCCAGGACAATCCACTTTGGACCTGTACCACCCAAATTAGCTTGATCACGCATTAAAATTGAGAACAGGCCATCTTTCCATTCGCGGGTTGCTGGATTGACAATTCCAAACAACTCATCATTTGTCACTGCCTTTGGATTAAGATCATTGTAATGAGGCTTCCTTTTTTGATTCTGATATGTCTTGTTAAGCGTTTTCCAAACCTCAGACTTTCCAGTTCCTGCGAATCCAATTATGAATACAGAATGGCGTACTGCAAACAGTTCTTCAAGTTGAACGATCTTTAAAATGAACCCATCCTCTGGTTGCAGTTTTAGGTCAATCGCCGATCGCTTTATAACTGCTTCAAATTCATAGTTCCGTTTTCGTGGTACATCTAATGCTGGAAATAAGTCGCCTATAAGACCCATAAACACCGGAAGGTCATCTGTTACAATCTTCGGAATATTAAAATCACGCAATGCCCGCATTAGTACTTGATCCTCAGGCCGCTGTCGATCATCGCGCTAAAAACAATACTTTTATTGTTAAATATACATAGTCTAATTGGTTCGAAAAATCCGCACACTATTCAAATTAAAAGGTACGGAGAGATATAAATTAAAAAAATTTCAGTAAATTGATTAAAAAAATAACTACAATGGTGAGTAAATACAGCCTGGTAAAGCAAAACACAAATTAATAAAAAAATTCTTCTCATAATAAATTTCCTTTGCATACACGAACAGCTTGAAAAACAACTAGTTCTTAATTAGACCTAGTAACTATAAGAAATCTTCGAATATGGTGCCACATTGTTCACGTGAGTGGCATCCACTTTTTCAGAAAGGCCTTCAATACAAAAATAGATTCTTAAATTATTAGTTTTTTGCATTTTAAATTTAATTTTTATTTTATTTTTTTATGCGAACCGAAGGTAGGTCAGCGTGATGGGTACTGCTGGGATCGCTCCGCCGCAGAACGGCCTGGAAATGCACAATTTCTACGAGAAACAACACGCAAACACTGATTCGCTTTGTATATGAAGACTACTGTTTTATTTCCTAAGCTTCTTTGGCCCTGCTGCACCGTCAGCTCTCGACCACTATTTCCTAACCTTGCAGCTCACGCCGTCTAATACTCACGCTTGCTGATTCCAAAGTGAAGTTGTTGATCAGCTTCAGCAGCGTACTGCGGCGAAAATTCTCTCTCTACAATTCGCTCTCTTCCACTTCTAACAACGTTAACAGTCACAGTTGCAAGTGATTCGATTTCATTTGCAATCGTCATCTCTTAATTTAATACATATACTCTTTAACGATAATTAATATTATTTCAGATTTCGCTGTACTCCATTGTTTACTCTTACCCTATGATTATTGTATGTTTTTATAATATTGGTGGGTCTATTGTGACTCCGCGTCACACTATTATAGAAGCTTCATGCCGTCGGTGATGGTCACCCTAGAGAATGCGTTTCCGTCCTCCATGCAGACCCTCCATTTCGGCGACGACGGTCGCGTACATTCCCAACCTGACGGTGGGAAGACCTCCTTCGGGACCACCGGTCGCCATTCATCCACGTCGCTTTCGGATGACGCTACGATGTCCTCGAGGCCGGGTTCCCACCCCTCGACCCCCTCGAATGCCTCCTCCAGCGCCTCCCAGAACAGGTGAGGCTGGGGAGATGGGCCCCGCCTTAAATCCGGGATGACCCCTGCGATGGACGGTGGTCTCGGTACCAGTGGTGGCGGCGAGTCGCAGCACTCCGGGTCATCGGCTTTTGGAGATGGTGGCGGCGACGAGACTGCCGTAATTGAGAGCCCATTGGCGCGGGTCGTTGCTCTTGTCGCTGTTTCGAACCATTCAACCTTGAAACTTAGGTCACTTTCCATTTTTACCTGTATATATACGAATTTTTATAAACCACCTACTTAACACCTCTACTATTCCGTTCCCCTTCCCCTATATCAACTTCGGCCTGTCTATTGCTCTAATACGTTCCTATGGTGCAGCTCACAACGACTTTTCTTATAAATAGTTAAACATAGGGGTTATTACAAATTATTCTTAGTCTATTGTTCGCCTGGTTGGTCGTCTCCTGGCACTCTGACCTCACTGGGGTCTTCTTCGTGTGTTCCATGGTAGACCTTTAGCTGGGCAATGTTCGCTACCCGCCTCTTCCGTTCGCCGTCGCGCACCAAGCGCCTGATGTTGGCCGGCAAACTTTGGCGCTAGCTTTGCCGGGAATCCGTCAACGGCCTCTGACAGCTTATGCTGGCGTTCCCACACCCGCTCGCCCACTTTTGGCCGCCACTCTCTTCGACGCAAATTGTAGTGCCTCCCCTGGTCCTGGAAAGCACGCTGCAGGTTATGACGGAAGATGTCAAACACCTCCCTCAGACGCCCGGCCTTTTCCCTAGCGTTTGCTGAACGGTGGCGGACCCAGGCGTAACCTCGTCGTATAAGGCGGCGGGGAAACATCGGCCACGCTCTGAACTGCACTCCGTTGTCGCATACAAACTTCCGAGGGACTCCGAATCGACAGAGTATCCGTTCTCGGAACGCCCTCTGTAAGTGTTCTGCCGTCGCCCTTCTCAAGGGGACCAGTTTCACCCACATGCTAAACGCATCGTGGAATATCAGCAGCATAGTGTTCCCGGGTTTCGAGCGTGGTAGGGGGCCCACGAAGTTGGCGCATAAGATGGAGCACGATTCCGTCACCTGGCGCGTCAGCATTCGTCCGGCCGGCCTCACCTGTTCCACTTTAAATTTTTGGCACACCTCGCAGCACCTCAGATGTCGTGTGGCGTCCCGGAACAATAATACCTCTGTGCTAGTCGAGATATTGTCTTCCTCACCTTGGCACTCCTGCAGGACTAGCTGCCTCTGATTGCCAACGACGTGTAATTTCCACTACACGTAGTCGTCGTCGTCGGCTCTGTATCCCAGGTGGCGGTAGATTTGGCCGTTCTCGACCGAGTAGTCCAGGTTTTCCAGTATGCATGCGGTCCATCCGCAGGAATGCTGCTCTTCCATGGCCTGACGGCATGCCTCTAATGGCTGTCGGGATAGCGCATCAGCCACCACGTTTAACTTCCCTCGCCGGTACTGCACGTTAAACTGGAACTGCTGTATCTCTAACGCCTATCGAGCGATCCTTTCAGATTGACTCTCTATTGAGTTGAGCCATTTAAGCGCCATGTGGTCGGTAATGACGTCGAAAGTTTACCCCTCAAAATAACACCTAAACTTGCGGATGGACCAAACTATAGCCAGTCATTCTTTCTCCGTGGCTGAATAGTTCATCTCTGCCTTCCCCAGTTTCCTACTGGCGTACGCGGTGACTCTCTCCTTTTCGTCGATGGTTTGTGTCAGGACGGCGCCGAGGCCATAATCGCTCGCGTCCGTTTGCAGCACGAATCCAGTGCCCTATCACCGAATCCAGTGCCCTCTGGAACGTGGTGCATACCGAGTGCAGCCCAAAGGGCATTACCTTCCATTGGTATAGTCCCCGTCATGATGCTCCCTTCTTCCATGGGTATCTGCCAATATCCTTGCGGTCTAAAATGTGGTTTATCCGGGGTAATTAATCTGCCTATAATCGATGCACATTCGCCATTTTCCGGTTTCTTTTTCACTAGCACAATCGGCGAACTGTGCGGGCTTCGGGACGGCTCGGTGGCTCCCGTCCGGAGCAATTCCTCCACCTGCTCGTCGATGACTCGCTGCATCGCCGGGTTCCTCGGGTAGTACCTCTGTTTGAAGGGCTCATTGTCCTGCATCACAATCCGATGGCTGTCTATGTGGGACACGCCCTTCAGCCCTTCGAATCGCGCCAATTCCGCCTCTGAAGCACCTGCAGACTCGGCTCCAGGTCTGCTGGCCATACGTCCTCCCTCCTCGCGACTAGCTCCCGCGGCAGTGTTTGTCCCCGCGACAGGTTCTCCTGCTAGCACGACTTCTTCTGAGGCGCGAGGTTGATAATCCTGCCCGTTGGATCCAGACACCCTCCCCAGCTTCGCGCTTTTAGGTGCTGATCCACACAGAAGCCCCGAATCCCCGCCTCAGCTGAGCTCCGTCCTCGCCTGTCCTTTTAGCCTAACACCTGTCGAGTCCTCCTTACGCTCCTGTTTCCGATCCTTTACTGGCGCTCTAGACACCCCAGGGTTGACTGACAGCGCCTCTAACGGCACCCTGTACACCTTGCTGTCCGACCGCGCCTTAAGTGGCACCCTGGACACCCCTCGATTGCTCGATCGCGCCTCCGAGATTTTCTCCCCGGGACGGACTGACGCCCCCTGGCCAATACCTAGCCTTGCCGCCGGAATCAGCTCCGCTTCCCTAATTCCCAGTCTCTCCAGCGTTCCTAGCGTAATCTCGCTGTCCCCACAACGTATCGTCGTGCCTATCGCGCGGAGAAAGTCCATACCTAGAATCACTTGGTCTAGCATCGACGTCATTAATAGTAGAGGCACGCCGATCGTGCGCCCCGCTTAACTGATTTCCCCGTGCACCATCCGTGCAAAATCTAAACCTGATCCGTCCGCTAGTCGTATCCTAGTTTGCACCTCCCTAATCTCCACGTCCTTCGCCACTTGGTGTCGATTGTCGCCGCGTACTCCTATCGTCGCGACGATACGACCCCCTTGACTCGCTTCTGGGCTCCGTTGATATCGCTGCCTATCCGCTACCGGTCCGGATGTTGCCTCTGCCCTGAACCGGTCGTCTACAGCATTCCTGGCTGTTCACCTCTCTAGTTCCGCATTGCGCACAAAAAACTACGTGAGGGTTGGTACATTCCCTCCTTAAATGCCCCTTTTTCCCGCACCGAATGCATATCGTGCGTCGCCTAGCTGTTCCTCCAATTTCTTTGCCAATCATCCTGGGCCTACTTACCGAGAGCCACCCCACCGAGAGCCACCCCACCGAGTGCCACCCCACCGACTGGCGATGAAGATACCCTGAACGGGTTGTTTATGCCTCTTCTTGTCTGTGCTTGCCCCTCACCTAGATACGTGCCCATGTTACTCCCTAGTCGAGATCGCGAACCAGTTGGATAACGGCTAACAGGATGAACTTCGACAGCGACGAGAAATCTTGTTTCCGCACATACAATTTGTACTCTGAGGCTGCGTTATCATATATCCTAGTTAGTTCTCTCTCAGGACTGTAGCCAGTCCTTCGCCATCTCGTTGACGGCGAACCCGGATTTCGTCTTCCAAAAATTCGAAGTACCGCGGGGGCAAAAATAAATCTAAGAATCCCTCCTTGAACTCGTTCCACACATATCTAAGCCCACTTGTTATGAACCAGCGAGCGGCTTCGCCGATCATGACCTCGTTCATCGCCCTAGGCAAACTATCGGTGTCGATGTCATAGGACAGGGCCCGATCGTCGATGGCTTCCATGAAGGACAGTGGATCAGCCTGCCCATCGAAGCGTATACCCCACTTCCTGACTTGTTCAGGAACGATGCAATGTCCCCTCAACTACATTGGTAGGCGCACTGGTGTTAATGG